ATATGAGCAAGGAAAGAGAATCGTTTAGGAATGAAGAAGAAGAAAGAAAGGTCAATTACATACATACATAGATTCATTCATTTATTATTTATTATTTATATTAATTAAAATTTTTTTACAGAAATGTGAAAAATTACATGTTTTCCTTTCTAATATCGAAATATTTAGAGAACTTTTTCTATTAAAGAATGTCGCTAATGCGGAAGATAGTAACCGCAATGACCTAAATGTGGTAAGCTTTGGAAGAAACATACAATTATGATAATAATCAGTCTAACTTCTTTATTTCCATATTTTATTTAGGGTAGGCTTGTGGGTATCATTACAAATATAATATTACGTAGCGGCGATGAATTATTAGATTCTAGTCACGAACAAGGTTATTTGGGTAAAATAAGAAGATTTAATGAATTGTTAGAAACGCTCCAGGAAACCTTGGAGAAAATTAAGATGACTTATTAATTATATAAAAATGTTTTCTTCTTTATAGTCTTTACATTTAAGATATATATAATATAGATTACAATCATCATTAAAAACTCTATTACTAAATTTGCTTTTTTAAATTAATCCTTAATTTTTAACAATTCAATTTCAAGGAGAACTTCATTCCCCGAGTAGAATGAATATTATGTGTTGAATCTTTGTAAATAATCAATACTAATAAACTTCATAGGAATGACTTTTTTTAGAGACCATCGTTAAGATTAACTGGCTGAACCTTAATTAATAATGCATTATCAGGTTCAAGCATTACTAATTTATACATAGCCATTAAATAATCATTCGATAATCCAGTCATGACTTCTTGATAGATTATTAAGATCGAGAGGTACTTTATGCATCTTAATTTATATTAAAATAAGACGAGAAATTTCGTATTAATATAGTAATTCATATGACGACGACGACGACTGCTATGTAAACTCTCGAACTGGAGCCGGAGAGCTTGACGTGTAATTCAAACCCAGTCTAGTAGATGATTTGTGATAACCATCACAATTACGCACATTCCGTTTAATTTTTTATTTATTATTATATTAATGACTTTTAAAAAACTTTCATATAACTTATGATTATTAATTTGTTAATATTAATATTAATAAATGTTATTAGCATACAACTTGGTCAGTTTATCTAACGATTGACCACCCTCAACTTTTAAATTCGCGATACTGTGATATTCAAAATTGTTCCCGTTCAGTTATTATTATATAGGGAATTCTTTTCCATTTTCATACTTTTAGATGTTTTCACGGAAAAAAGAAAACTCAAATATACAAGTCTTCTTTACTTGAAGTGCGGTAATGATGATTTTAATATTGAAAAAGAAGGGGAATTCGTTAATGACGAAAAAAAGCAATTGATGATTGTGTAACAACTCTATATTTTGCTGGATAAATTAATTAAATATTTTTAATTAAATACAGTAAGTAATATATTTAATTCATAATGTTAAAAATATTTCATATTGCTTCGATGAGGGTGTTCTTCTCGAAACTATGAGTGAGGTTGGTAATTTATCCCTTGTCTGAAGTTCGATTCGCATGCTTGTTGTCTTTTATATTAATTTTTTGATCCAAGAGATCTTGGGTATGCAATCTTTTTATATTATCTAAAAAACAATTTAAGGGCCTATTTTCTTGAACTCAGCTCGAACTTGAAAATTCAAATTTTACTCTAGCATGCTCAACTTTGAGTTTCTATTTGAATAAACAAATAAAATGAATAATTCGAATAAATGAATAAAATGAATAAAATGAATAATTTGAATAATTCGGATAAAACAAAATGAATATTAATATCTATTGCCATAAATAATTACATAACTTTGGGATATCGCGGCAAATTTGTTACGTAATGCCGAATTGCGTAATTCAGTGCACAAATCATAAAATCGACCAATATTTAAATGCTAATATAGTTGAGTTCTTTTTAGAAAAAAAATTTTTTTTTTTTGGCAAATTATTAAAAAAACAAAGATGGATACTTCTACTGACAAAAATGATGATGATGAATATTCAAAGGAAAGAAAAGGATGTTATGGAAAATGTCCAACTTGCAATAGATATAATACTAATTATTCATGGTGTAACTCATGTAATCCAAAGCTATTAACTGAAGGATGGACTAGTGGCAATGAAGCATTAGATGAGTTGATTAAAAGCACACAACTTAAAGCAATTAAGTATGATAATAGTAAATATCTTCAATGGATTCCTTATAATGGTTTAACAAATATTGAAAAGATAGGTGAAGGTGGTTTTGCAACTATATACAAAGCTATTTGGTTAAATGGTAATAAACGTATAAATAATAGAAATGATAATAATGATAGGATTGTGGCATTAAAAAAACCACATAATTCACAGAATATTTCTGATGAATTTCTTAATGAGGTAAATTATTTTATTCCCCATTTATTTTCTGAATTTCAATAGTTCAAAAATTATTAAAGATGGAAGTCTTCAAAATTATGAAGATCCATATATTAGAAAAGAAGAATATGGAAAATGTCCAACCTGCAATAGATATAATACTGATTGGGCATGGTGTCAATCATGCAATCCAAAATTATTAACTAAAGGATGGACTAGTGGCAATGAAACATTGGATGAATTGATTAAAAGTACACAGCTTAAATCAACCAAGTATCATTATAGTGATCATCTTCAATGGATTCCTTATAATGATTTAACAAATATTGAAAAGATAGATGAAAGTGGTTTTGCAACTATATACAAAGCTACTTGGTTAAATGGTGAGAAAACTGCAAACTATCATAATGAAAGAACCAGTAAAGATATGAATGTGGCATTAAAAAAACTACGCAATTCACAGGATATTTCTGATGAATTTCTTCATGAGGTATATAAATTATTTATTTTTCTATTTATTTCAAATTTTTAAATATTGTTTTGGATTTCAATATATATTTTTTTAGTTCAGAAATTATGCTATATTTCATGGTAAAGAATTTATAAATAAAATTTATGGATTAACACAAGATTCAGCTACAAAAGAATATATCTTTGTAATGGATTCCATGGAAGTTGGAGGTCTTCAAAATTATTATGATCAATATTCAAAAAAAAGGAATGAAAGGCATGGGAAATGTCCAACTTGCAACGGATATAATACTGGTGAGGCATGGTGTCAATCATGTGATCCAAAGATATTAACTGAAGGATGGACTAGTGGCAATAAAACATTAGATGAGTTGATTAAAAGCACACAACTTAAAGCAACAAGTTATGATAATTATTATTATCTTCAATGGATTCCTTATAATGATTTAACAAGTGTTGAACAGATAGGTAAAGGTGGGTTTGCAACTATATACAAAGCTACTTGGTTAAATGGTGAGAAACATAGCAATGGAAAAATCGGTAAAGATAGGGATGTGGCATTAAAAAAACTACATAATTCACAGAATATTTCTAATGAATATCTTAATGAGGTAAATTATTTTATTTTTCTATTTACTTCAAATTTTTTAAAATAATATTGATTATTATTGTTTTATTTGTTATTTCAGTTCGAAAATTATACAAAATTTCATGATAAAAAAGATATAATTCATATTTATGGATTATCACAAGATCCAATTACAAAAGAATATATATTTGTAATGAGTCATATAGAAGATGGAAGTCTTCAAGATATTTAACTAAAGATTTTAAAAATTTAAAATGGGAGGACAAAATTGATATTCTCCATCAAATTATTACTGGGTTAAAAGATATTCATAAAGAAAAAATTATTCATCATGATTTCCATAGTGGTAATATTCTTTAAAGGAATAAATGGAATTCATTTATTGCTGACTTAGGATTATCACGTCCAGTTAGTCAAACATCAAACAAAAGTGGTATATTTGGAGTACTACCATATGTTGCACCGGAAGTTTTAAGGGAGAAGCCATATACAATGGCATCAGATATATATAGTTTTGGAGTTCTGATGTCTGTAATATCAACTGGTCAACAACCTTTTAATAATTTGGCACATGATGTATATCTTGCAATGAAAATATGTGAAGGTGTAAGACCTGGATTTTCAAACAACACACCAAAACCCTATATCGAACTAGCATTCAGATGCATGGATGCTAATCCAAATAAACGTCCAACTGCTGAAGGAGCTTTTAAGATTGTTGATTCTTGGTATAGTTCACTTGAAAAATTTAAGAAAATGAATGAAATAAAATTTGATCCATCAACAATTATTCCATTTCATCCAAATGCTATTTACACTAGCAGATTATTAAAATTTACAAACCTTCCCCAACCTGTGAATTCCAATAAAGTGACAATTATTGGTAATAATAATGGTAATTATTAACATTTAATCATTGATTGATTATTTTTGTTTTTTATTAATTTTTAAAATTTTATTTATTGATATCCACTCTTGTGATAAATATTTTGCAGATTCTAAACAAATTGAATTAACTATTGTAGATTCTACACAAATTGAATTAGCTATACCATATGAATTATTTGAATAAGTTAAGTCTTGTCATTTTAAATTATTTTATTATTTTATTTTATTTATTCAGCTACTATAGTTGTGATAAATGTCTTGAGAAATGAAATTATAGATAATTGATTGATTAAATTTAACAGTGTGAAATTAATTGATTATATTAATAGTGATATTATATTATAAAGGTAATATCTTTCCACAATTGTCTTTTTTTTTTCATTTTGAAATTTGGATGTCAAATATGCACATTCAATAATTTGTTGTTGTACAGTTTTTGGGCTATTATATATTTAAAATGATTTATTTATTTATTATTTTTATGAGACAAAAATATTTTATATTAATATATGTAAATAAGGTCTAGTGATGTTAATCATTTAACTATATTCAGATGAATATTTGAATATTCAGTTTAAAGACACCTACCGTAATTGGTTATTTGCGGCAATGGTAACTCCAAAAACTTGCTCTTTCTCTTGCAGCAGTATTTTTTTTGAATACTTTCTCTTAAATTATACCATTTGATTTATTTTAGTTTTAAGCGAATCCATTTCGCTAGATGCATCAACAGTAATAAATTGAATAAAATCTCCATTGGTTGCAGCAACAGAAATCTGTGCAAGTGCACATACTTATGAAAGAAGTTAAATTTTCTGCCATGATATTGAAATTAGATGTGATTTCTTTCCAAGTTCCTCTTACATCCTTAACTTGTGCTTGAACACCTAATTTTCCTTCGGTCCCTACTTTTCTAGTAACTCTTGTTACTTCAGCAGCAAATGTAGATAACTAATAGATAATTGTTTAAAAAATATAAATAAGATTATAAAGATAAATATTATATATATATATATAAAATAAAAAAAGCAATTGATTAAGCTCACTTGATCAACCATATTATTAATTGTTTTCCTTAAATCAAGTACTTCACAACAGTAATTTTTTTAGATCACCATGAGCAACAGCTTTTGAAACATTAGCAATATCATGCACTCGGACAGTGAGATTCTGCCATGGTATTTATATTGTCTGTTTATTCTTTCCAAGTGCCATCAACACCACAACACCAGCTTGACCACCAAGATACCTTCAGTGCCCACTTCTCTAGCTACTATAGTTATTTCAGCAGCAAAGATACAAAGTTGTTCAATCATAGAATTAACAGTTTTTAATATCAAGTAACTCACCCCTGACATCAACAGTATTTTTTTACTGAAATTACCATGAACCACGGCAGTCATAACTCCAACAATAGAACGTGCTTGAGTTGTGAGATTTGCTGCCATTACGTTCACATTATCAGTCAATTCTTTCCAAGTACCATCAACATCTTCAACAACAGCTTGTACACCTAATTTACCCTCTGTTCCTATTTCTAAAGAGACTCTTGTTACTTCAATGGCAAATATTTGCAATTGATCAACCATAGTGTTTATCATATTCTTTAAAACCAAGTACTTCACCCCTGACACCAACAATGATTTTTTTTACTCAGATCACCAAGAACAACAGCTTTTGAAACATTAGCAATCTCACGTACTTGAGAAGTAAGATTCTCAACCATGATATTTAGATTGTCAGGGAGAATTTTCCAAGTACCATCAACACCCTAACCTCAGCTTGGCCACCCAGAATACCTTCAGTACCCATCTCTCTAGCCACTCTAGTTACTTCGGTAGCAAACATACATAATTGTTCTACCATAGTACTTATAATAATTTTTAATTCTAGCGCTTCGCCTTGCGTAGGAACCCTTACTTTTCTAGACAAATCAACACATGCTACTGCTTTACACATAGCTGCTATGTCACGTACTTGAGCAGTAAGATTAGAAGCCATTAAATTCACATTATTGGTAAGATCTTTCCATAATCCACCAACATTTTAATATTTGCTTGGCTGCCCAATTTTCCTTTAGTTCCTACTTCAAGTGATACCCTTGTTACTTTAGTGGCAAATATTCGTAACAAATAAGTGTGAGTGAGTGTATGTGTAAAAACACAAATATATACATGAAAATATGTATATAAAAAAGAGACTTACCTAATCAACCATAGTAATTTATGGTATTTTTAAATCCAAAAATTCACCTCTTACATTAACAGTTACTTTTTTACCAAGATCTCCTCTAGTGGCGGCTTTTAACACATCAGTAATATCACGAACTTGAGCTGTTAAATTTGCAACCATTGTATTTACATTATCGATAAGCAATTTCCAAGCTCCACCAATGCCTTGTACTTGAGCTCTTATCCCAAGTTCACTACTTTATGAGCAACAAAAGTAATTTCTGAAGCAAAAGAATTTAATTGATCAACTAAGAAAAAAGAATATTTACATGAAAAATGACTGATAATAATAAATCATAATAACAATAATAATATAATTCAATAATAATAATATTGTAATTATTGAGAGATCTTACCATAGTATTTATAGTATTTTTTAGTACAAGAGTTTCACCTTTAACCTCAACAGTAATTTTTTTGCTTAAATCACCCATGCACTACAGCAGTACATACTTCAGCAATATCTCTTACTTGTTCAGAATGATTATTAGCTATCATATTTAAATGGATCATGATTTCTTCCAGTCACCATCTAAACATTGTTTTTTTTCCTAGTTTTCCTTCTTTGCCAACTTCACGAGCAATCCGAATCAACTCAAAAGCCACATCATCAAGTTTTTCAACCATGGTATTGATTGCATTTCTTTTTTTGAAATCTCCATAAATTACAGCCATGGTAACAGTTATACAATTGTTAAGGCATTCTAAACATCATAAACCAAAGCAAGTGGTGTTGAAGGAGGACTTTCGCGACTCATATAATTGCTGGTGAGTTTATTTGTGGAATCATTGACATAAGCACGTATAGAAGATTTGTTGAAATCGCCCGAAGGAAATGCTTGATATTGAATAACTTGTTTTTCAAGTTACAAGTGACGCCCTAATAATTTTATTAAATTCCATTGTATCTTCATTCTGTTGGCCTGGATATTGTGAATTCAAGTAATGCTCTGTATTGCCATCATGAAGATTTTGAAAACGTATCCAATAATATCCGTTATTAAAAGAATATTAGATATTTATATATATATAAAGAATGTATTAATTAATTATTGATTAATCAAATATTGTGAATTTTGGAATTTAAAGATCAACGAAATCAATGAAATCACATTGATCGATTTTGGGTGTCTCCTGCCTGAATACATGAACTCTGACATTATACATACTTTTCTTGCTCAAAAAATCAATTCATTTATCACACAATAGGACCGTAAAAACGCTATTGTACGTCACCGCCAAATCAACATGCATTGTATGTAGCTTAGGTTTTGATAAACTTCAAATAATTTATTTATTAATTAACTATAAAAATAAAGTTTTCACAATTTTATTGCTTATTTATACTGCGCGAATCAGCAAAACCTAGACTTTCATATATGGTTCTTGAAGATTACTTTAGTAACAAGTATTAATAATTCCAATCGCGGTTTAACCAGAGTTTGAACTGTGGTCCAATTAAACCATTGTTGATCCATCCTTACACAAATTCAAAGACAATAATTGTTGTATCCTTCTTTCATGGCAAATGAAGCATCACAAATAGAAAAACAACAACAAGATTCTGATGAAAAAGGTTTATGAGCTGGAACCCGATCTCTTTATGATCCTGACATATTAGGAAGTATCTAATGTAAAATTTTTGGTGGTGGAACAATGAATAAATGCGTGTTACATAGTGAAATTTTGCGTAGTTGATAAAGTTTAGCGATTAACTTTGTATTATGATTATCAAATTCTATATACTTTTTTGCATTAGTTTTTTTAGAAGAAGGTTAACTGTGAGGGGCTGTGGAGGTTCCGTATGTTATTTTTTTATAGTAATAGGGTAATCATAGTTGCATCATACAAAGACCAGTTTTTTAAGAATTTTCGTGTTTATATTATGGTATGGCAATTTTCTGCTCCATTTGTTTACAATAATAATAATAATAATAATATGATACATTAAATAACAAATGGCTGAGTAATGATGGCTGTTGTTTCCAAGATGATGTAATAGTTGGCAGTATTAACTTATTATACTTGAACTTGGATGTTTTAAAGACTCTTCAAAGATCATTAATCCTATTTTGAAATATAATTTTTTTCTAATTCCAAGAGAAAAAAACAAAAAATTAATCGTTAAAAGAATCCCTAAAGGTCTATAAAAACTAAGGACCCTTAAGCTCAAACATTACTAATGTAGGAGAAAAAAATGAGACTATTGCTCAATTGGTTAGTCAGGAAGAAGCTTTGATTTCATTGTTAAACCTAAGCAGGATACTCCTAATGATATTAACTAAATGAACGAAGAAAACCTGAAGCTAAATGGGGAGAGTTATTACAGAAGTGCATACAGAAGAGTAAAGAAAAATTTAATGTTAGTAATTTTATAATTCATATATATATATATTCCTATAGGGAAATTAAGTGATCCTCGTCAAGAGAACATCTTGGGATTGGAATTACATCTTACACCTATAAAGAACTTGTATATCTATTTGAAGATTATTCTATAAAAAAGGAACACAGAACTCAATCTTGATCTACAAATGGTGAAGTAATTATTTGCTGGTATATATGACCTTCACCAGATCCTGTACCTTTCCTACTTCTCTTTTAGGAATTCGGATAATGAGTTGGTCCTTACCTTTTACCCCTGCAGAGACCCGCTTCGTCGCTTTTTGGAATATACTTTTATTTACTTATTACATATAATAAATATATAATTTTGTTTAATAATTCAGAAAAAAAACTTGTTCATTAAAACAATAGTAAAAAATGATTCGTTTACTGTTAAACAAGATTTTGAATTCAAGTAGAAATCGAAATCCTTACAATTCCAGTTCCTGCATTTTTTTCATACATTTTTTTATGAAGGAGAACATGTCAATGATTGCTGACATGTTCTCTTTAATTAATTTATTAAAAGTTGTAAAAACATAATCAAAATTTTTTTGAAATTAGTAATATATTGTAATTTATAAAACCTGTACAACTTTTTCATATTTTGGGGTATTTGGGGCATTTTTTATAGAAAGGGAGGGACCAAATGACAAATAACAAGATAATAATATGATGATCATTATAAATCAAAATTTTATATTAATATTAAAGCTCAAAATTTTATATTTGTGATGAGTAAGAGTCATATTCTTGGGAGGTTACATTCTTACACAGTAGAGATCATACCTACTGAATATTCATTCGTTTTATGTTCATTTGATCATTAAATTAATTATTCAATGAATATTAATTGTTATCAAAATTTCTTTACAAAAAAAAATAATCTAATCAAATAAAAGCAGATTAAGTTTTGTTCTTTTTGATGTTATTGTATTTTCAGCTTGAATAAATAGTCTCTCACTTGGAGTGTACGTTGTAGGTGCACACAAGTATTTAGTAACTAACTTTTTCCATCACAAGAATGGATCATTTTTCCACATCCAATTTGACTTCTTAAAACCATCCTTTACTTTGCTTTTCTTCAAAATATGAGCAATAAGAATCTCCTCCTTCTCATTATGAATGCTATTTTTTATTTCAAGCGAAATATTCAATCTAATTAATTATAAATGAACAAACAGAAAAGACTTACGAAATTTCATTTCAATTTCAATTACACGAGATATTTATTTACTGAATACTCGCTAAATATCCACTTTTGATTTATTATATTTGTCAATGAAAAAAACCAAATATCCGATTAACCAAATATCCACAGAGAATTCAATGAATATTATTCATTAGGTGAAACCTCTTTACTATACTAAAATGAAACTCAATGAAAGGATCTACGGTAATTTTTCGAGAGTGTGACGTGTTGTAAAAGTATTAGTATTAGTGCGTTTTATGGACGCAGGAAATAAAAATCTGGTTGAATTTCATCTATTTGGCAATTTCTAATTTGGTGATTGAAAAAGTACGCAGTTTTTAAAACCTAATTAATTCGACCACTAATATTAGGCCCAATTTTTTATTTGTGTCTTTTTTCATTATTATTTATTATTTTTATTAGGCTTTTATTTTATTTTGTACACCACTTTACCGCAAATACTTCTTCATCAAGCCTTATAAAAACTGATAGATTCCCTCCCTAAAACAAAAAAATAAAATATAAAAAAAGTTTCACATAATATTTATCCATTACTACTTTTATTATCCTTTTACCATTAACACTAATTATTAACCAATTCACAAGATGGGTTTATCTATTTCAAAACTCCTTCAAGGCCTTTTTGGCAAAAAGGAGATGCGTATTCTAATGGTTGGTTTGGATGCGGCTGGTAAAACTACTATTTTATATAAGCTTAAATTAGGTGAAATCGTTACAACTATTCCTACCATTGGTGAGTTTTTTTTCAAAAAAAAAAAAAAAAAGATAAAATAAATAAATAGTATCATATTTATGTGGTAAAATATTAGAAAACAAATTTTATTAAATATATAATTTTCTTGAATACATTATATTTATTTACCACCTTTAAGGCTTCAATGTTGAGACTGTGGAATATAAAAATATTTCTTTTACTGTTTGGGATGTTGGTGGTCAAGATAAGATCAGGCCACTTTGGCGTCATTGTAAGTTGATAAAATAACAGATGAAAATTATTTTACTTGGTGATTATATTAACCAACAACAAATTAATTAATCGATCAATCAATCAGATTTCCAAAATACACAGGGTATTATTTTTGTTGTAGATTCAAATGATCGTGAACGTATTTCAGAGGCTCGTGAGGAACTTCAACGTATGCTTAACGAAGATGAACTTCGTGATGCACTTTTATTGGTATTTGCCAATAAACAAGATTTGCCTAATGCAATGAATGCAGCAGAAATTACTGATAAACTTGGACTTCATTCTCTTCGACAACGTCATTGGTATATCCAAGCCACATGCGCAACGAGTGGTGATGGTCTTTACGAAGGTTTGGAATGGTTAAGTACTAACTTAAAACGAAAGGTTTAAATCCAAAGAAAATAAATAAATAAATATATATATATATACAACAACAACAATATTAATAATATTATATAATACTATAATTATAATAACAATCATAATAATAATAACATAATTATAATAATAATAATAACAACAACAACAATATACACAACATTTTAACCGAAACCTTTAAAATTGCATGATTAAATTTGTTTCATTTCTTTTAAAGTTTTGATTTTTATTATATATTTTTTTTTTCAATATATATTTACATGTGCGTTCTATTTTTAACCCAGAATTATTCTTGACTTTTTTGGTGGGTTGTAGAAATTATTAGTGATGGAGTATTATTATGGCATATTTTTTTATATTTAATAATAATATTATTATTTTACACTGATAGAAAATAAACTTCTCTTTTTTTTTTTAAATTGAAATTTTTTTTAATATTGTAATAAAAAATTTAAATTTTTAATCGATAGAATATTTCTAAAATTTATATTTATTTACAAGTGTGATACATTGATATACCCTAATTGGAATCGTTATTATATTTATTATTGCTATAATCTTTTTCTTCATTCCAAATTGTTATGTGATAAAACTTTTTGATTAATGTGTTTATATCATTCAAAAAACTTGATTAAAAGAGGAGGAAAGAATTAATCATTTAGGTTATAATCTATAGATGTGACTAATAATAATATTATCATTATTAAACTTACCTAAAGAAATCAGCTCTCGTAATAGATACAGTAAATGACAAATAAAAATATTGATAATGAAATTATTATTATTATTATTATTATCATTATAATAAGAACAAATGAAAAATGCTACTGATATTAAAAACGATGACTGATCAACTAAGATCAAGTAAAATGGTCATTTTTCTGAATTATGAATTCAAAACACAACCACCATTTGCTAATAAATAACAAAATTGGGAGTTTCGAAATTAACCGGAAATCCCGAATGCAATTTCTTATCATTTCAGCCAAAAAAAAAATATCTTCAAATGAAAAAGAAAAGTAAAAATAAAGGTAATTCAACCGTTCATTGTATTTTTTTTTTTTTCAAAGAATCAAAAATACTCACATCTCTTCCTCTTGATTTTTATTTCATTTTCAAACAAATATTATTTTGAAAATCAAACAAGCCTTAATTGTTGAATTATCTTTTATCTCTCTTTTTTCATAAAAAAAAAATTTTTTTTTTTTTTAAAAATCAAGAAAAAAATTATTATTTATTTATTTATTTGTGTGACTTGTCATGTGATCGATTTTATTAGCATTATGGATTCATTTCATGAAAAATTTATAATTAGAGAAAAAAATTATCATATAAATTATGCAGCTTTATATTACGCGAGATTAGTAGAACTTAAACCTATTGTTCTTGAATCTGCGCGTAGGAAATGGCGCGAAACGCGAGGTAAATCTAATTTTGGGGGGTTTTTTTTTTGAGAATACTTTGGATTTTAGCTGATTATTATCATTATTATTCTCTGATCAATTATTATTTAGTCGATATATTTCATAATGCAAGATTTTGTGACAAAATTTTAGATATAAGGCCTGATGAAATATGTTATATGATTGGAACAGTTTATATTGAAATGGCTAACAAACCAAATATTCTTGATGAAATTACTAAAGATGTGTGTATATCAATTTTCAAAACCCACAATTTTCATATACTATCTGCATGTATATAATTATTTTTTTTATAATTAGCATACAGAACCCCCGCCTCCACCAGTTTATAAATATTGTGGTGATAATGATGATATTATGTTGGAGGATGGATCTGGAAGAATAAGTTTAGTTGGTGACGTAATAAAAAATGAAATATTAACTACAGGTATACTCATTTCAATTTACCATTGTCAACTTGTAAAAATATTGATTTCATAATTAATATATAGGATAGGATATGATATATATCAATAAAATATGATTTATTTTATTATTATATTTTTTAGGTGTAATAATGGCAGTATTAGGCAGACAAACATCGGATGGAAAATTTGAAGTAATGGATCTTTGTTTTGCTGACTTAGCACCTCAAGAAGTTGTACATCGTATGGAACTAGGTTAGTAAAATCATCTAAAAAGAGTGGTTTTTTTTGTTTATTACTTGACAAAGTATCTTATCAATAATGGAAATTGTCAAGATGAGCAAAATTATGTAGCTTTTATCAGTGGTATGAATATTTCTGAAGATAGTTTATCGAGATTACAAATGCAAATGATGGTTGAATATTTAACTGGTGAACTTGGAAACCTTCATGTAAAGATTTATTATACATGTATATTCGTTTTTTTTTTTAAATCTATTAATTAATGATTATTTATTTTTAGGATCAAAACATTACTTCTAAAATATCAAGGGTAATCGTAGTAGGAAATAGTTTAAAAGAACAAAAACATGTATGAATTAATTGATATATTTAACAAATTTATATATATATATATATAAAATTAAAATTATACTTTTTTTGTTAACAGACAAGACAAGGAAATGATAATTCTGGTCTTAATAATGAATTATTTTCAGAATTAGATTATATTTTTGATGATATATGCAAGTCAACTCCCTTAGATTTAATGCCAGGAGCCAATGATCCAACAAATACAACTTTTCCACAACAACCAATTCAAGTCAATTTATTCACAAAAGCTCATCAAAACTCAAATTTTAATTGTGTAACGAATCCTTATTTGTTCCAATTGGATAAATTTTTGCAAGTTATTTAATATATTAATTTTATTTTTTAGAAAAAAATAAAATCACATAAATTAATTAAATGTATGTTTCAATAGATTTTTAGGCACATCAGGTCAAACAATCGATGATATTTTTAGATATGTAGAATGTGATGATAGACTTTTATTTGCTGAGAAAACTTTATATTGGAGACATATTGCACCAACTGCACCTGATACTCTATGTACTAAAGAAATTTTTAGATTTTGTATTTTATTATTAATTTACCAAATTGAAATGATTTTAATTTTATAATTTTATATTAGTTTGTTATCCATTCCAAGATGAAGATCCTTTAATAATAAACCAAACACCCCATGTTTACTTTATTGGAAATCAAAAAGAATTTAAAACCTGTTTATTAAAAGGTAATCAATAAACTTTGTTTTCTTTCTTTCTATCTATCCCTTAAAAGAAAAACAGTAATTTATTTATTAATTATACTTGTTGTTAGGATCAAAGAATCAAACTACACGAATAATCTTACTGCCTACATTTTCTACAACAGGATTGATAGTTCTTTTGAATTTAAACAATCTCGATTGTCATACCATATCTTTTTCTTTTAAAATTTAAATGTTACCATAGATACAGTCGGTTAGTTATTACATATAGAACAATAGACTTTGAAATTAGTTAATAAAATAAAAAAAATAAACTGTAAATTTATAAAATTTATATATTGTAACCACGTGATTATTGGATTTTTAATCTATTTATGTTACACGACATTCATTCAGTGTGTAAAATTGAAGGGGCGCAATCGACACATGTAACATTATTATCCAATCAAACTTAGAACTTCTGAAGATAGTTTCTAAATTTGTACTAGTCACACGACGAAATTTACACTGGTGTCTACATTTTATTTAAAAAATTTTTAAAAAAGTTTAAAAAAAAAAAATGGCTCGACATTCTCGCTCAAGAAGTCGTTCTCCTTCCCCACAAAAAAGACGCAAGCATTCACACTCACACTCACGTAGACGTGATCGAACAAGAGATTCCTCAAAAGATATTCACGACAGAAGTCGTAGTAAAACTAGACAGGACAAGGATCGTGATCGGGAAAGAGATAGAGAAAAGGATCGTATTAAAGATCGTGAAAGAGAAAAAGACCGCGAGAGAGTAAAAGATCGTGATAGAGAAAAAGACCATAATAGGGACAAGGACCGTGATAGGGATAAGGATCGTGATAGAGAAAAAGACCGTGATAGAGAAAAAGACCGTGATAGAGACAAGGACCGTGATAGAGACAAGGACCGTGATAGAGACAAGGACCGTGATAGAGAAAAAGATCGTGACAAGAATAAGGATCGTGAAAGAGAAAAAGAAAAAGATCGCGAAAGAGATCGTAATAGAGATGATAGAGAGCGTAAGAAATCTCGTAATCATGCAGAATCTGAGAAAGAAGATTCACATCGTAAGTCAAACCATTCTAAAGATAATACAAATAGAAAAACTCGTGTTGGTGATTCACATTCGCATGAACCAAAAATTAGCTCTTCTTTAACGGAGGCAATGAGCGATGTGATTACTGTTGGTGAGAAGGACCAAACCACTCATATAACTAATGGTCATGAAACTGCTAATGGTGAAACTGAGTCACAAGCCAACTCTAATGAGATAAAGGTAAGCTTTTTTAAATGAATGCATGTCAAATATTTTTTATCAGATGATATCTTTATCGAGAGGTTTTTTTATATAGTCTTCTGATTCGAAAACGTCTGCAACAGTTGCTGCTTTACTTGATCAAGAAGAAAAAATTCGTCAAAGAAGGGAACGTGTTGAACAATGGCGAAGAGAAAGAGAAGCTGCCAAGAAAGCCGAAGAAGAAGAAGAAGTTAAAATTAAAATGACAGGCGAATCTTTTACCACTACAGCAGAAAATTTAGCTCTAGAAAATCAAGAAGAACAGGAAATTTCAAACAAAGGTGGTTGGACTTTAGATAACGATGATGAAGATGATTCTATGGAAGTAGATACCTCAACAGGTTTTGATCATTCATATTATCGTAAAAAGTTCTTAGAAAAAAAAAGTTTATATTACTTTTATTATTATTATATTAAATTCTTACTTATTTTAAAAATATTACTTAGATACATTGCCTACATCTTCTGTCGATCTATTACCAATCCCAAAATCGATTGATAAAAGTGAGCCACAAACACTACAGTTTAGAAGAAACCCTCTTCTTGGCCCTTCTAATAAGAAAACTTCATCCCAAAATGTTAAGGGTAAGTCAACAAAAGAAGGAGTTCGTGAAGAAATTGATAAATCTTCAACATCATCAACCAAATTCACGTTGTTTAAAGATCAATCCGATAAAACGATGGATATTAATAATTCTGAAGATGATGAGGATCCACTTGACGCTTACATGAAAGATGTTGAAGTAGAAGTAGAACATTTAAATGAACAAGATAAAAAACGAGCAAGACAATCTATAAAAGGAAGGTCTAAAATCGAAACTCCGATTTCTTCTGTTCAAGAAGATGAAGAAGAAGATGAAGAGGAGGTTGGAAGTAGTGATCCTGAAGATATTTTAGCGTATGAGTTAATTTATATTAATTTATATTACTTTATTCTAGTGGTTTATTAATATATATTATTAACAAATAAAAAAATAGACTTGCTGCCAAAAAACTTAAAAAGAAAGATTTGGCTATAGTTGATCATTCCCAAGTTAAATATGAGCCATTTAGAAAAGATTTTTATATTGAACCTCCCGAGATGCGTGATATGATTCCTGATCAAGTAGATTTAGTTAGAATAGAGTTGGGTGGCATCAAAATCAGGGTATGAGCGGGGGATTTTTTTTTAAATTAATTATAAAATTAATTTTAAATGTCATTGTATTATTATTTTTTTTTTAGGGTGTTGATTGTCCAAAACCCATTCAAAAATGGACTCATGCTGGTTTACCTGCAGCATGGTATTTATAAGAATGCTATTATTTATTATATGCATTCACTGATTTGTTTTATAAAGAGAGAGTTAACAAAAAAATTTTTTTTATTAATTATTAGTTTGGGAATTATAAAAAAATTAAATTTTGAAAAACCTACACCAATACAATCGCAAGCAATTCCTGCTATTATGGCAGGTCGTGATGTTATCGGAGTAGCTAAGACCGGCAGTGGAAAAACTATTGCTTTTCTTCTTCCAATGTTTAGACATATTAAAGATCAACGTCCTTTAGAACAAATGGAAGGCCCTGTAGCCATAATAATGACTCCAACAAGAGAATTAGCTGTGCAAATTCATAAAGAATGTAAACATTTCTTAAAAGGTTTAAATCTTAGAGTAAGTAAAATATCATCCTTTATGCATTTATTGTCATGTGTATAAATAATATTAAACTTGGCAATAATTAATCGTCTTTTTTTATTTAATTATAAAATAATATTATAGGCGGTTTGCGCATATGGTGGATCGCCTATTAAAGATCAAATAGCAGAATTGAAGCGTGGTGCAGAAATCATTGTTTGTACACCAGGACGTATGATTGACCTATTGTGTGCTAACTCTGGACGTGTTACTAATTTAAGAAGAGTTACTTACCTTGTGTTAGATGAAGCTGATCGTATGTTTGATATGGGATTTGAACCTCAGGTAACTATTAGATCGACATGGAATTTGTTTTTTTGGACTTCCAATTTATGATTAATCAACAACCAACTTCCTTTTAATTGTTATCGTTAGGTAATGAAAGTTGTTAACAATGTAAGACCCGACCGTCAGACTGTATTGTTTTCTGCGACGTTTCCTCGACAGGTAAATTAAAATCTCTATTTCCCCATGAAAAATTATTTTTATATAATAGTCATCCTCTCTTTATATTTTCTTTAAAGATGGAATCATTAGCAAGAAAAGTTCTTAAGAGGCCTCTTGAAATTACTGTAGGTGGTCGTAGTGTTGTAGCTCAAGATGTGACTCAAATTGTTGAAGTTCGTGAAGAAAATACAAAATTTGTTCGTTTATTGGAAATTTTAGGTCAACAATACAATGATGATCCTGAAGCTAGAACCCTTATCTTTGTCGATCGACAAGAAGCTGCCGATAATCTATTACGTGATTTGATTCATAAAGGGTATCCTTGTATGTCTTTGCATGGTGGCAAGGTACTAATTATATCTGATAATTTTTATTAAATATTTTGTATTTTAACATCAACAAAAACAAAAATAAATAAATTATTATTAATTTTAATTAGGACCAATTGGATCGTGATAGTACCATTGCTGATTTTAAATCAGGAGTCTGTCAAATATTGGTTGCAACTTCTGTTGCGGCTCGTGGTCTTGACGTAAAACAATTGAAACTTGTTACTAATTATGAATGCCCTAATCACATGGAAGATTATGTACATCGTGTTGGTAGAACTGGACGTGCAGGTAATAAAGGTACGGCATATACTTTTATTACACCTGAACAGGATAGATATGCTATGGATATTGTTAAAGCATTAAAATTAAGTGGTGGTCACGTAAGTCTTGAGTTACAACAATTGGCTGACGGTAAATATTTGTTTCAAATTTTTTTTTGGTTTATTGATTAAAAAAATTTTTTTTTATATGTATAAAAAATTAATGGAAATATCAAAAAAAAATTTATAGGTTTTCAAGAAAAAGTTAAGGCTGGTAACGCTACCTATTCAGGTTCAGGCTTTGGTGGCAAAGGACTTGAAAAATTAGACGAGGCAAGAGATTTAGTTAAAAAGGCACAAAGAAAGGTATTATTTGTTCATTCATATTTACAATCTATATTTCAAGCTTATATATATATATTAAATGGAACTATATAGATAATGATGATAATAATAATTAAAATTTTTTTTAGACATATGGAGATGTTGATGATGATACATCAGAAGAAGAAGTTGAAGATGAAGAACATCCAATACTTCCTACTATTAAGAAAGAAGAAGCTGAACAAATTGCTACAAATCCGGTTCAAAAAGTTTCTTCACCCGCTGTTGCTAGCTCATCTACTGCTACTACTGCTACTGCTGCTGCTTCCACTGCTCCCATATCATCTGAATCAAACCATACAGCAGTTGCTGGTAGGATTTTTTAAATTTTATATACAAGTTTATTTTTCAAATGAATGTAAATATTTATTTATTTATTTTTTTTTTCATGTATAGCTCTTAGAGCCGCACAGGAAGCTGCTGCTCGCGTTAATGCTAGTGTTGGAACTAGTGGTGTTCAAAGAGCTAAAGATATTATTGCAGATATTAACGCAAGATTTAAAGATAACCCTGTACATGGCAATGTTTCTGAAGCTGATAAGACGGAAAATACAGCCGAATATAGTGTTGAAATTGAAATAAACGATTATCCACAAAAGGCACGATGGAAAGTTACAAATAAAGTATGTATATTATACGTATATTATTATTATTATTATTATTATTATTATTATTATTAATTGATTGTTTAAATTTCCATTTCCAATTAATTCAATCTTTATTCAAATTCAATTTTATAGGAACAAATTTCTCAAATTACAGAGCTTACTGGTGCGGCAATTACTACACGTGGTACATATTATCCACCAGGGCGTCAACCTGTACCTGCTTCTGGTGAAAGAAAACTTTATTTATTTGTTGAAGGGGAAAATGAATATGTTGTTGAGAAAGCTAAAAATGAAATTAAAAGAATTTTAACTGAAACCACATTAAGCGCCATTGAGGCTGAATCAAGAAGTGTACCAACAAAAAAATTTCATATCTTTTAAAGAAAAAACTATTTATTTATATATATTTTTTTTTACCGTCATTATTATCAGGATTTATTATTTACTAATCAAAAAAATTAGATTTTTTTATGCTATTTATATTTTGTTTTAATATAATTATTTTTTAAATAATTTATTAGTTATATTTTAACATATACAAATAAAATTTAAAATATAAATCAAATTATTTGGAAATGAAATTCGATGATATGAGAGAATTAAATAAAGTGGAAATATTCCCAATTGTGGGAAAGTATAGATATAATTAATTTTGTGAGTTATCAACACTCAATACTTTACAAAAATTATTAAATACAATAATATTTTACAATTTAGCTATTAAATATATATATATATAAATTAATAAATTATACAACAAAAAAAAAATTAAATAAAATAAAAATTAATAACGATACTAAGTCTTTCAACTTGATTGCCATTGTTTCTCAAAAAAAATCGTCGGTTGGTTCATCAGGCTCATATACAAAATTTTTCATATCTTCGTCGTTGAAGATAGATTCAGTAGGTACTTTGAATTTTTCAGGATTACTCCACTTATTACCAATCAATTTTGACAATTCGTTACGTCTTTCAATCTGTTTTCTAACTTCATCATCACCAGGAATAGTTTTTCTAGCACCGTTTCTGCCTCTTTTTATTCCCCTTTGTTTATCAGGCTTTATTATTTTTTGGGGGGAGGGAGGGTGAAATGAAAACAAAAAAAATCAATAAATTTAGTCATTGAATAATAAAATCAAAGAAATTGTAATGATAAATAAGTAAAAAAAGGTAATTACAAAACGCGCTAAATAAGTTTCTTCAATTTCATTATTAACTTCTGTTTCGAAATGAAGATATTGTTGATAACCCATCAAGTCTTTTACTCTGCCTCTCAAAACCGCTTTACGGTATGCATTTTTTCTTTCCAACTCATGTAATTTTGCTTGAAGTTCACGTAATTCTCTGCCTATTTCATCATCTTCATCATCTTCCCTTCCATTCCATTGAGCCTAAAATGAATGCATAGAGAGGTAAGCCAATATGTGTGTATATAAAAATCGTTATTTAAATATTACAACGAATTCAAAGATATGTATGTATAAAAAAGTACACTAACATCATCATCATCAACAAGACCTAATGCTTTTAATTCTCTCAAAACTCTATCATTCACATTACAATCCTGTGTATCAAAATCTTTTAGTAAATTTTTTGGGGTCAATTCAATTTGATCACCATTATTATTGGTGTTACTATTATTAATATTAATATTATTGTGATAACCATTCTGACCATTTGTTTGTAAATAATGACGACCTTCCTGTTGATTGAAGTTGTCTCCATAATCAATTAAAGACATTACTAAACGTTGACTTATAGGCCCAATAAATTCATCGCACTCATCATTTTGAGTTTTTAATGAATGTGAATTGAAACTTCCATTTAATTGACGATCATCATCATCATCATCTGTTTCACCTGGTTGATGTGGCATAAGAGCATTCATCTCTTCTTTCCAAACTTCTTCATAATGTTTACCAAGTCTTGGAAATTTATAATATTTTTGATTATTGGGCTTATAAAAAAATATAGATTTGTGATATAAGTAAATACATACATACATACATATATGTGTGTGTGTGTTAAGATTTTGGCATAAATTTTTTTACCTTGCTTGACAAAAAGTCCAAATCCTCTTGTTTAAGTTCACGAACATATGGATCCACATACTCGTAAAAGGTTTTAATTGGTATTTGATCCTTTGTCTTTACAACAGGAGTTTCATCTATTGGAGTTACAATAGTTTCTGAAGTGCTTCTTTTCCTAGTTTTAAATGTTCCAATAGTATTTTTATTTTTTGCTTTCTAAAAAATTAAGTGTATACATGAATAGATATGTAAATAAATAAATAAATATAATTATAGATAATAGAAACTTACTGATCCACTGTTGGTTGTCCTAACAGGAGTTGATTGTCTTGAGTTTTTTATATGGTTTTTTCCAAAATCAGAGGAATCACTGTCATCATCGGAGAATTCTTTTTTGATTTTCTTTTTCTTGTGTAAACTATATTTTTAATTAATTAATTAATTAACAATGAAAAAAATAATAATATCATTCCTTTATTTCCTAAAAATCACCTGCCACTCTTGGTTATTTCTTTACGATGATGACCAGGCGGTATATATAGATCATCAGTATCTTATTTATATTAGGTTAGATTATATATATGGTATTATATATTAATTATTACAATTTATTATATATATGTTTAGAATTATTTATATTAATTTACCTGAATCATTATTTTTTTGTTTATTATTAGACTTTTTCTTTTTTGAAAGTTTTTCTTTTACCATCATACTTTTGTGCATACTAGGGCTATTTGATCTTTGTGTATGAGAACTTGATACTCTAGATGTATTAGAACCAGAGGAACCGCTTTTCAAAGGTTTTAAATTAATAGATCTTCTTGGTTCCATGTCCATTATCGATTCATCGCGCTTGGAAAAACCTTCTCGTATCTCTTTCATACTCAACTCAATCTCTTCACGATCTCCCTCCACCTCATTAAATAAAGTACCAAAATTTCTTCTTTTTATTAAGGATGAGGAATTGATTGATTGTAATTCTTTTTTTAAACTTGCTAGGTCAGTTGTTGGTATTCTGGACTTTATCGATTTACCATAATATGTAATTGGTTGAGTGAAGTGAGATGGTGAAGTAGATATACTTGCCGATTTATTGTTGACACTGCTATTATTGTTATACTGATAGGTGTTAGTGTTTTGGATGAATTTTCTGAGTTCTCTTTTGCGTAGTTTATTTAAAGGCTGAAAGGTTTTTCTTAGATTATTAAGTTTTTGTTTTTCTTTGTTGTCTTTTTTATTATCCATCTTTTTATACAATTTTTATTTATGTACTTGACTTTAAGAAAAAAATATTAAAATATATAAATTAAAATGTGTGTGTGATACAAATGTAAATCAATTAAAAATACAAGTTTAATTCAAGATTCTTTTTATATATATTAATTGAAATTTTAAATTTAACCACTAGATTTTTCAACATTACTCACACCGATTGATTCACTAACACCACCACCACTACCAACACCACCAACTCTTGATGTATTATTATTAATTTGATTTTTATATTTTTGAAATGTTTCTTTTGTAGCAAATTTAATTCTATCAACAACACTTTCTATTGAATCTAAAGCTGGTCTAACATCCAAATAGAATATAGGAGTATCTCCTTCATCAGGTCCAGAGTAATAATCAATCACATACCGCACTTCCTTACCGCATCTATCAATAGTCCAATCATGACGATCAAATGGCGGTGGCGTTCTAAGCAGTGACAATGATATTAAGATTAATAAGCAAAAAAATTTTTTATAAAAAACCAAAAAAATCATTTACCCCATGAATGAAAATATCTTCCCTGCCCATTGTAACATTCTAGCTTTGGGACTTAATTCGTGTGGTCTACCACGAAATCTTAACAATTTTGGATCACCACATTTACTAATTATATATATATATATATATGTTTATATTTGTATCATCTTTATAAGGTAAAAAAACTTGAAAATTTTAAAAAAAAGAATTGATTGATCAAATTGATAAAATTTTCTTTTTACCATTTTTTCGTACTTTCCCATTTAAGTATTTCGTTCCAAGCAGCTTCATTCAAAAAATTATGTATATCAACCATTGTCTCAACACTATCCTCCGGAGTCTCCCATCCTTTTCTTACTAAAGCGTTATAAAATTGTTGTGGTGATGGGTATTCCCAATATTCTGCACTATAAGCTTTTGGGATTGAAGATGTGAGACGATGAGTCGGTAATGGTATTTGCTGACCTGGCGCCGGTAAATGACCAAGGTTTGTTGGTATTTGATTTTCAGGCGAGAGTGCGTCGCCTGAATGCGTTATTGGACATGATGATTTATTATCATTTTTTGTTGTGCCATCTGGTTTTTCATTATGCATTGGACAATTTGATGGAAATTTTGGATTTGACATTTTTTTTTAACGCAAGAAAGAAATCAGGTGCGACGGTTGTAGTCTTTTTTGGTATATAAAAAAAAAACGATGATTTTTTTTTATTTGACTTTTTTTAGTGTGTCACAAATTTTATAGTTAGTTAGTTGATTAATTACTTGATTAGTTAACTAGGCCAAATGCGATTGATGAATTAAAAGAGGAAATTTCCCAGGGTCAGGATCTACAATCTTTTTGAAGGCGATATATCTCAGATGAGATTCGTAATACATTTAATTATTGAAGAAGTTTTTAAGGTATCTGAATATATTTCTCGCTCAAATGAAGCTACCCGTCGTGAATTTATTTCCTGTATTATTTACGGGTGTTGCATCATGAAAAGTAAAAATTTGCCCCGAATATGAAATGTTTGGAAGTCATGGTAAAGGCCCAATTGATTGGGGTCCATTAAAGTAAAAAAATAGTGTTACTGAGACAAAGAGAGATGGGTGATATGAATGATGGTGTTGCACAGAATATAATCCAGTTGCAGACATCCATTCAAAGTAATACACTTGTATGAAAGTAATGTAATCAACAGGCAAGAGCGCTCATTTTTATAATATTATTTTGAAAAAAACTTTTGTTAATATTAAGCTGTTAGTAGTTTGACAAAAATTTGGAGTATTTTGACTGTTGCAAGTCTAAGTTAATATCAAAATGTCTAGATATAAACCATTTGCGCCACCGATAATAAACATTAGCTTCGGCCAATTATTTAATAATAAATAATGTATATTTTCTTTTTTAGCTGATTAATTGTATATACAGATATCGATTGCTTTCATTTTTTTATCATTGATACAATGTAAATTCACTGTGACACATGGTCTACAAGGACTGCTTTGTAATGGTGGTGGGTGACATTAGTGGAAAATTTTCAACAAAAGTTGTATTATTTTGATTTTTTAAATTGAAACGATGACTAAATCCTATTTTTGGGTGGTGGAAAATATCACGTGAAAACTGCTTTATCCAATGGGATTTATTAAAAAAATATATATTGTGACTCGCTTTAAATAATTGCTATCACATAATAATAATAACTTTTAGAAATCGTTTTCTTTTATTTATTAAGAAAGAATAATCTGAAAGAATATTATCACACATATTGATCATAAAAATTGAAATTACAAAATAAAATTAGTTCGCACAATACTACGAATAAATGCATTAAAACGATTTTTTTGAAACCAATTCCTTGCATACTAAAAACATGTATTGTAATGATTTCCTTTGTATTTGCAATCAATATCATCTCCACTTTTTCTAATGAGAAGTTTCTGCACGTAGTAGATTTTGAGATAATGAATGATGTCAATTTGATAAAAATACACATGTATTTTTTTACTATTGAAGATTGAGTCAGGCCATAAATAATTTAAAAAATAACCACTTGTTAATTCATTTGTTAACTTTATTTATTCATAATAATTTAAAATTATTATTATCGCTGTTTCCTATTTGATATAATAATAAGTTGTCTTACCAAGTTTAATTTTCAAATTACAAAGATAACTAACACACAAGTTAATTGAAAGAAAATTCTAATAAATCATCAATTGTTGATTTTCCTAATAATAAAAATAAAATAATTCTATTAATAATTACTTGCAAAAGGAAAAATATCAACATATGCATATATACACAAGAATCACCTTTATTAGAAGAAGTTGAATTGTATAATGCTGGTTCATTTGTTGAGGAGGAAGAAGAAGTTGTTGTAGTTGGATTTGAAGTGATTCTAATTTGACCTAATTGTGGTTCAGGTTCAGGTTCACTCAAATCAATTAACCATGAATCAGAATTATTTCTATGAATATGTGTATATAAACAAGAATTAATATACTATAGTATAATATATATACATAAAATATAAGCATTATGATAATATGGAAATGAAAGATTGTGATGTTACGTTTTTGTTTCTTCTTTCGCTTTTGGTTGTAAAATAGATTGTTGGTTCAGTTCTTTAGGTTGGTCAAATATTCCTTTTAAAATATTTTCATATCTTGTCAAAACAGTATTAATCAAATCATTCAAGGTTAAAAGACGATCTATTCATAAAGGTGAATAAAGAAAAAATTATTAATAGTAATGGATGATATGTGATTTTTAAGTTGCATAAAAATACAATAATACGGACCAATGCTTTCAGAGTCTTCCTCTTCGGAAATCATTTTTTGAATTTTCGGTTGAGAAGTTTTACATGATTGTATCAATTCCTATATTATTAAATTATAATATACTAACAATTATTAATCAAAAATCAAAAAATAAAATAAATAAATAAATAAATTTTATTTTCACCTCAAATATATCACCTTTACTAGTTTCTTCACTAGATTTGACATTATTTAACATATCATTTAAAAGTATGGCTTTTTGTTGTATGTTTTCCAATTCTTCATTAGCCTGTTTTTTATAATCTGGTTTTGCCTCTTGATTCTAAACATTATTTAATAATAGTATTATCATTATTTGTACAAATTAAGACACGCGTATATATATATAAAAATAGATAATATATCTTCTTACATATCCTGACATAATTTTCATAAGTTCATTAGCCTCTGCTAAATCTGAAGGTCTACCTCTACGAATTAATTCTTGTAATTTCTAAATGATATTTAATGAATCAATGTAAAATCCATCTAATTAATTATAAATTAATTGTGCTAATGAACGTTCTCATAGATTACTCTACCGCTGCTTGAGCAACTCTATCTTCTTCTTCTAATTCTTCAGGTGATTTCAATGTCTATATATATTTTATATATGAAATAAATTGAATATTTTATATATTTTATTTAATAATTTCTATAATCAAATTAATTTAAAGGAAATCATCTTGAAATCTATAAAGTCACACCTCCTTAGGAATAAGAACCGATGCAGATTGATCATCAATCTCGGGAAATATGTAGCCTACGTATTACAATTTGATTGATAATTAAATCTGAACTATACATATGTATGAATATGCACCATAGGATATATGAGATCACATATACCTTTATATACTAATAACCGATACATATCATTGATATGTACAAGGTCATCTTTATGTCGAGAAGTTGTACAAATTGTGATTTTCCATTCTTGAATAAATTCCAATATTTTTAATTGTATTGGATTAGGGATAGCCTATTAAAGAAAGAATCGCCAATGAGGTTGCTGATGATGATAGTAATAATTTGTTGAATTGTTTTAAAATTCAATTACAACATTGATGATATATATAAATAAATAAATAAAATTTTTCTTACAGGTGATTTTTCAGGAAATTTACGAACTAGTTCATTCAGAAATTCTTTGGTTGCTATCTGTAGATGAAAAGGATATCCACAATTCTTCACACAAATATCCAAGAGCTAACAATAACAGTAACAATAAATAGTTATTGTTGTATCAATTGATATAAATAAACCAATCTCACATAAATACATAAATTATAAATACCGTTAAAGCTAACCATGCAACAGTCGGGTTTCGATGATTCACAAGTCTGACTATATGCATTGCGGCATCCCGTGGACTTTTAGGAATGATTTTTTTGATCGGGGAAAAAAAGATAAACATCAATTGTAAGTTGACGGCTAGCTAACTATCTAGTTGGTTAATTGGTTGACGAATTAATACTTAATGAAGCTTACTAGTTTTGTTTTTTCTGATTAATCAAGTCTGCTATTTCCAAATTTAAGGCCAAATCTGGTTCTACTGATTGTGGATTACATGCTCTATCTATAGATTACTCAGTTTAGTTATAGTTTATATAGTAGTTATTAAACAAAATATAAACATTAAAGATTCTTTTTAAAAGACAAGAAATGTTACCTATAAAGTTTTGTATAGTAGGTTTTGGTGTAATAGCGGGTAACTATGCATTATAAACAAATTATTAAAGTTGTTTGCGTTTACTAGTTTATTTAATTAATTATTACTCTTTAGAAGATCTCATAATTGTAAAAACGATTACTTGAATCGAGCCGAAATTCATTTAATCAAGCAATAAATAGATAAAGTTTTTTTAAAAAAAAAGGATTGTTTCGTCATTCATTATAATTAGTACGGCTATGTATATTTGGAAGTTGATGTAACATCTAATGTAATAATAATATAAAAAAAGTTCAATTCCTAATCTTAATAAAAATATGTTCTTTAGTAAACTAGAAACTTAATGAATGTCATTTCATAAATAGGACTCTCCTTTGTTTTTTTAGGAGTCGACTGACATGCATGGGGGAATCCAAGGACCACCTTGATTATGAAATCGTTTCCTGAATTCAATGAATTAAACGTTAAACTTTTGGTTTCAATGTTAATTATGTATGTCAACGAAGAAATGCACAAATAATTCAAATATAACCTTTGAACTGAGAACAGCTGCTAGGATTGTCAAGATTTTTCCAGTGAATCAGGAACCTCCATCAATTGACCACACCTAATTCTACATACATATCCGTTGGGACTACCAACATTATCATTAAGATGAGAAATCAACATTTGCTGATCCATTGAATAAAACTTAAAAATTAGCGATGTTATTTGGTGCTTAACCGTCCGACCTAGTCCTATTATGGGACTAGACTGGGGTACAATGAACTCTTCGAAGAAGGAGTTCAAAGCACGGGCAGATTCTACGCAAGGATAATCCGGGCACAATGAAATCTATAAATCCAAAGCATGGGCAGATTCTACGCAAAGGGTAGTCAGGTACACAATGAACTCTAGAAATCCAAAGCGCGGGCGAATTCTATGAAAGAAGGTAACCCGGGGCATAATGAACTCTTCAAAGAAGAAATCCAAAGCACAGACGGATTTTACGTAAGGGGTAATGGAAAAGTCCAAAGCACGACCAAAGAAAAATATTATAAAATCATAATTAAAGATGAAAAAAAAACGAAGATAAAATAAAAATATTATACATATCATATTTTTTTCATCTTTATTAAAAAAATTTTTTTAAATAAAGGAAAAAAATAATCTTAAATTGTGCTTCTGCAAAGTTCGATTGTAATATTTCAATTTTGAAATATTAGAATTACTAATTAATTGAATTGTATATAAGGAGCTTGAATTCAATGTACTGTAAAAGCAACTTTCTCATAATTTAATTAGTTTCGACTAAGGAAATAACTTTGTTACAAGTTAATTAGTTTCGACTAAGAAAAACTAAATAAGTAAAATAATAAATATTTTATTTAAAACTTTTATCTTCTTTAACAAAATTATTCGCTAATCCAAAATCAATTCATTGATAACCTATTCATTCCGATCCACACAAATACAAAAATAATTGTTAAAAAACACTCTCCCAAATTTAATCGGCGACACACTGTTTAATATCTCGATTGTTTGTAATTCTCTAAGGATTTTTTCATCATTATTGCATTCTTTTGAAAGTTGAATTAACATATCATGAAGCATTTTGCACAATTTCAAGCTGTCTTTAACATACTTTTTTCCATGTTCACCCTCCCACTCTCTTCTGGTTTCAATTGCACCAAATTCTAATCTACTTCCTTTCAATCTAAATACTCCATCCCCTTTTCTTCCAATTTTCTTCCGATTTGTTCCATAATTTTCTTGGTTCTTTCTATCACTTGAAGCCATACTCATCCCTTCACCTCATATTAAATTGATATTTGAATTATGAAATGCAATGTCAATAAGTGGACCCCATATGTTTAACTGATACCACCCTTCTAATTTTGATGAGTCATCATTGTCACTTTCCCAGAGTGTGTGCATAATGCTATATGCAAGATGAATGTAATTTAAATCAAAATGCTCTTTATTGGAGTATGAAGTGCTAGTAGAAAGGGTTCAAAAATAATTTTTTGAAACTTGGATAAATCAGTTGTTGAGTACTTTTTCATAAGATTAATAATTGATTTATCAATCTTTGGTATCCTTTTAACTTTGAAGGAGAATATTTCATCCCAGTCTTCTTTACTAAATAAGGAATTTGCTTCTTTATCAACATCATTAATGATAAATGAATGTAAGCATGATTCATGTGACAATTTTCTTGCATATTTGTATATAAATTTTTCCACAATGGTACCACTCTTTAGCTTCCACATTTTTTGTGGATCCAAGTTATAATATGTGCTATCAAGTTCAGTTAAATCAGGAATTTTTAACTCATCTTCATTTACGTTACTAATATTTGGTCATCTTGAATTACTAAAATAACTGTTTTTAACCAAGTATTAAATTTTGTAACTAGAGTGACAACGAGTGGCAATAACCACCATTCTTAAAACACTTATCCAGCAGTCACCTCCCCTTTGTTATTTTCATTCTTTCTTTTATTGTTGTTGTGTTGTTGTGGCATTTTTTTAATTTTAAAAGAAATAAAAAGAAGTTTGTTATTTGATCGACAAATGCATGCAACAGGAGAGACCGTCCTATATAAGGAATGGATTTTCACAATTGATTTCATTTTTTTTTTTATACAGTTTAAAATACTTTTACAAGGGTATTATGTAGCCCATTCTTGCAACAAATCATTTGTAAATAATTACACAAACTTGAAGCTTTACACTTTGTTGTTATCATATCTTTTGAATCTCTTTGAATCCCACAACTTTCATAATACAATTTACTTGAAGAAAAATTGCCTGAAATTAAACATTGCACAGAATGTAAAACCACTGAATCAGCTAAATTTCATCAATAAATGGAAAGAAGCTGAGATCAACAACTTAGTGAAAGTAATGTGTTGTTTTATGTAACATTTGTTATATGAATTTTGTAGAAAATCTTTTAAAAAGAGAACATAGGAGCAACTAATTGATATTTGCACAGATTTTAAACAAAGAAGTAAACAGTTCATGCCACCCTTCCAGATATCAGAAAATTCTAACTAAAAAGGTTATCAGAATAAGCAAGTAGTTTTTTATTTAATTATTAGTGTTTAGATGTTCCAATACTTGGGGGAAGATTATAGCTAGAACACTTATTTTTATATTTGAATAAATACCAAGGGTGGTGATTTATTTGGGGAATTAATCACACAGAATATGGTGCACCTTTGATATTTTTTAAGAAATAAAGTCGCATCAAGAAGAGATGCTAATATATATATTATTATAATTATATAATGAGGTAAAGGTGACAATCTTTATATCAATTTATAGATTTATATATATATTTTATTATTAAGTGGCAAGGCTCAGATGAATAGTGGCAGATAAACTGATTTTTATTGTGGAATATTTAAAAAACCACATTTTGCACACTGTGTTCTTTTTGCAAAATTATGATAGCCGCACATATCATTACCACATAACCAATCTCCAGGTTTCATATTAACTATTGATGCAATGTTATTTATAGCATTAGGTGGTTTAGGTAAACTACAACGAATACACTGAAAACGTGATGCAAAGTTGTGTGAGTTGCAAGATGGACAATACCAATCGCCTGGTCTAAAAGGTATACTTGATGATGCAGATGATGGTGATGGTGATAATGATAATAATGACCCATGACCCATAACATTAGTTGTACCATATAAACCACCTCCCTGTTGTTGTTCTATTATTGATGACGTTAAATTCCCATATGTATCATAACCTGAATGATTTGATGTTCCACATCTCATGCATTGAGTTCTTGATGCAAAATTCTGAAAAATACAATTTGGATTTGGGCAAATCCAATCGCCTGGTCTAAAAGATATACCTGACGATGTGGATGATGTTGACGATGTTATTGATAATGGTGGTGTTGATGTAGACGATTGTCCATAATTACCATTACCACTAGGTTTATAGGTTCCACATCTTAAACATTGAGTGCGTGATGCATAGTTATGAAAACTGCATGGTAAATTTGGACACATCCAATCGCCTTGTGTAAAATTATGTGGTACTTGTTGCACCACGGGAAGAGGATTCGGATTGATGGTATTGCACTTGAAACATGTTCTCCTTGAAGAAAAATTATGAAATTGACATATTGAACATATCCAATCACCTGGACGAACATGATTTTTTATCATCTATTATAAATTAATTTTAAAACGAATTAATGTATTAATTTGAGACATTAACAATATTCGATAATATTTAATATATACCTGAAACGGTGATAACATTGATCCAGCAGCTTCGATTATTCTTTCGCTACTTGGACTAACTTCTATAACTCGATCACCTAACGTTCTACCATTCATATCCAAACAAGCCATAGAATCTTCATGAGTAGCGAAAATTGCAAACCCAATTCCACTTGATTTTTGATTATCAGGTGGTTTAATCATCGACAATGTTGTAGGTCTTACACCTTGACCCGAAAACCATGCTTCTAATTCAGGTTGTGTAACATCGTGTGGTAAGCCTGCTAAATGGATTACTTTAGACTGTTCTTTTTTAAACTGATTCAAGTCTGCACTTGTATCTATTGGATTAACGAAAACATCATGATGACCAAAAGAACAAAAATATCTGACAACGTTGACCATGGTTAAAACATCATTCAATCCTGATTCATGAATTTCCACTATTATTAAATCAAAAGTTGAACTCATTTCTTGCAATGAAAGAGTTTTTAGCGTCATATCTGGATGATGAACGTGCCATCTTTGATATTCTTGCTTTAAATCAAACATTCTACAATGTGTTAAATAACTTGACAGTTCGATTTCTTTATCTTTTGCTTCTCTTGGTAATTGGATCCTTAAATCCCAAGCTCCATGTGTACAAAAACAAAAGGTTTTATTTTCAGCAAGTATTTTGTTCTGAATATAATCGTCTAACGCATCAATTGCATCCTTTAAATTTCCAGCGAATTCAAGTTGATCCCAAGTTATGTTTGTAAGAGTGGTGCAAAAGGTTGTTAATAGAGTAACTTTAGGTTTTACATATTGTGAATGTTGGTATACCTGTCAATAAAAAATCATTAACATTAATTATATTATTGATTTATTAATTGTAATTAATTAATTAATAAATAATAAATAAATAAATAAATAAAATAAATAATGTACGAACCACTTCAAAATTTTTTGTATCTACTATTGCCCATGCAAATTCAATAATTTCTGCCGTTTCCTAGTTTTTATTTTTATTATTTTATTTAATAATAAGAACCAACAACGAGTTGCAAGCCAGGTAATATAATTTCATTAAAATTTTTAGATAACTTCAAAAAAAAAAAAACAAAATTTTTAAAAAAAAAAATCAGGAAATGGCTCAAGAACACGTATAAGAGAACCCGAAGCCACCCATAAAAAGATAATAATTCTATCGATTATATGATTAATGTGTATGTGTGTGCGTGTAAATAAAATTAATCAACTCAACCTTACAAAAACTTTTACGTTGTGACTGTGAGGCCTTCGTTACTTGTATAGTAGATTGTGATATTTCTTCAGAGATCGTAGCTTCAAGATTAATAATTATAAGGTAATCAATACCAGGACAATGAGTATTTTCAGTTGAAGACGACATTTTGATTTTTTTATAATTGTAATGTTTTTTCCAAAAAAATGAAATTAATAATAGATTTTGGTGCCGATCACGTGTGGACAAAAGTTATTGAGGATTTTTTATTGGATAAAATGCAGATCAAAAATTGATATATAAGAGTATTCAATAACATATACTTATTTTTTAAAATTCCAAGGTTTTTTTTTTATTAGATACTATTTTCATAATATTTATTGATGATGATTTGATGGGTTTACTATTTTTATTAACTAAAAAAATTTAAGAAGTTCGGGAGCTATTTTTGTATATTAATTTTGTCCAATGAAAAATCTTCATATATTATCATCATAGTCTATTTGTAACACCCCAATAATTATAATATAAGTTTTATATTATTTATGAACTTTATTTAATTGCATCGGAGCTCTCTACGGTGCAGATCATCTATAATCAATTAATTGCTTATGGTAACAATTAGTCAGTTTCAAAATACTAAAACAAAAAATTTTTATAACATTTTAAAAAAGTTAACCAATAAGTTTTATTGTTCATGACTCAAGCTTCAAAACTTATTTAGCCTTAACATTTTGAAAATCCAAAATTTGTTATGAAATTGAGACTAAGTAAATTCTGTGTAACAATTGTTTTCATATATTTCTTTTTTTTTTCTTTACAAAAAAAAATATTCAGGGATGGGGACGGTTTATGTCACGTGATATGACGAATAATTGATCCGTGACGATTAATATACTAATTTACAGGTGACAGTTATATTGCCAAAACAAGACAAATTAATTGTCACCTGTAATTTAGTATATTAATCGTCACGGATCAATCATAAAAATATTATTCGTCGCCTCACGTGACATAAGCCGTCCCCATCCCTAAACAAACAACAGGAGAGACTGTTCTGGGAACACAAAATTAACAGGAGAGAACACAAAATTTTAACCCATGCCATTTATTGATTGACAAATTAAAATCGCGAATTTGATAAACGTAGAAATAAATATGGGTCTGATTCATTTTGTCAACAATTGCTTCACCAACAATTGTTTCATTAACGAATTTAAGAAGTTGGAAGCAACCATTGAAATAGTCTAATAGATTAAATTGTACTACTTGTAAATGTATTTAAAGGGTTGGTTTTTGACTTGGTTGAAGAATAATTCTCTTCCTAACTCTTCTCTTGACCATATCTCTCAATATAATCAAAATAACCTTAATATAATGAATGTCAATGAAATGATTGTAAACACAACAAATTTAAGATACATGATTG